TTTGGTTAAAGAGTAATTGAAGAGTGTTTTATAGGCGACGAGCGATAGCTTAAAATAGCATGAGAAATAGTGGAAATCGATACCGAGGAGTTCGGGATGCGGTTTCGTCAAGATGCATCTGCTTGGTGTCTGCGGGAATCAGTGTTTTCGTAGGTACACAATTCGAGCTCGGCTATTTAACAAAAACAAATAAACACCTACCTTTTAAACTGTGGAACTTTCACGAAGAAAACTATGGCGTAAGTAAAAATCATGAAATAACTATAAGAAATAAAATACCTCTTAATTACGGTCATTCTGGGTGTGATGGCGCGATTTCATTCAGATCGTGAAATTTCTATATTTTCAATGATTTTTAGTGGTGTACCAAATCTTACAGGCCTATTTAAATATTCTTCTTATATGTATTTCATTAGACAAATATATTTTCATTCTGTTAGGTATTAATAATATTTATGATGTAATTATTCATTATTCTATTACTGATTGTCCAAGCAAACACAGAATCTTAGTTACCGATGAGAAAGAAACATGAACACTGGATCTACTAAGCAATTAGTCTGATTTTTCCATAATGTCTTAAAAAGATGAAAAAAGATATTCCTCGAGATTTAAAGCGCCCCGTACTAATGGATTCATACAAATACACAGATCTGCATCATAATTTTTCACAACAGCATTTTCACAGTTTTGATCATTGTGAAATAATAATTTCTAGATGAGTCATTTTGACCGAATCGGTAGTTAATGTTAACAAATTGTTTGAAGCAACGCATCTATCTGTTTAGCAAAAATGTTCATATAGAACAAGCTACATCTCTAGTATTAATCACACTAAAATATGCACGAAAGAAAAATGAATTGTCCTGCTACAAGCACTAATGACGAGAAATTTAAGCTTGTCTCCACTACGGTGAAGAACTCTCGCGTATATTTGTCAAGAAAAACGATACGAAGTAAAGTCTTCAAACTCCGTTTTTATAATCTTATAAAACCGACCAAGGCGGTACAAACTTTTCCTCTTCGAATAAAAATCGGTATATGCATGAACATCCGCAGAACGCTGCGAACCGTTGCGTTCTATGAAATGGTAAATAATGGGAGCGATATGATACACGTGTTCTAACTGTGTACACTATATCCAGGCTAATGAAAACGAGATTTGATTAAATCCATGATTAAGAATTTCGTTCGAGCTTTTATCGGGATGCAACGCAGGCACGACGAAACTGTGCTATCTAAGATCATTCGTCGAGATAATTTTCAGCTCGCAATTAACCACTGTCAAAAGAGTAAGCCTGAATCCGCGGTCGATGGCGGTGACTCGACGGGAACTGAGACTCGACTCTGAAATCTAATTACGAGCCCGATCAAAGATTTGAGCGGAGGTTAACCAAGATTCGACCGTACACCGAGAAAGCAATCGAGCTCTAATTGAAGTACGACCGTGTCACGTCCATGTACAAACAACTTCCGGTGGATTTCTAATTGAAGAAAAGGCACTCTAGATTGCGTCCTCGCCGTTGACACCACTTGTGCCATTTAAACGGTCTGAGAAGGTCAAAGTGGATAGATATTTCGTATGGAGCTGCCTTGATAAATCACTTGTGCAAAATGATTTTCAATGAATTATTTCAGAAAATTTGTTAACACATTGTTCATCGGCAATTTTACGCAGAAGATATCCCATGTGACCGGTTGTTATTTCGCAATTAAATATGAAAGTGAAACAATCTAAATAAACTTTGAATATTTTGCTTCTGCAATATTCTGTATTGCCCTGTGATTCAAAAATTGAAATGGCTAATGCAAGTGAGAACACGAGTTAACTCGTGACCAGTCAACAATGTGTTAACACTAGCACTACCGTAACAGTTGAAATTATTGGTTTTTCTTGTTTCGCAATTATTGATACCTTAAAAGCATTGAATGTTCGAAATCATTTTGAAAATAATTTCACTTGAATACTATAATGAATGTTTAAAGGAACTGGAAATAATCTGTTGTTATAATTTTTATAGAGATTACATATCAACTGTATTAAATCCACGGTAGTTCTAGTATTAAAGAAGGTTGTATGATAATTAGACTTGTATAGCTGAATTTTAAAGGACAAACAGATTATGCAGATGTTACGAGTCAACCTGCTCGTTTGTGTCTGGTCTTGACCATCCAATTCTACTTAAAAATCGTTCTGCGTCGAGAAACGAAATAAGGCAGTTGTCTACAGTAATTAACGTAAAAGTAGAAAAATAGTTACGACAGATTACAGAGAAACTTAATTAACAAATTCCATTTAAATTCCATGTCGTAGAGAAACAGCGTTATTTTGTATGAAATCAGCGAAGGAAAATTTGAGTATATTTGCATTAAAATGAATTTATAATTCCACTGTATATACATGGGTATCGATTTTAATAGTCTCAGTCTCATTGCGAGATACGTTGCACATGAATAAGCAGAAAAGAAAAGCTGGACTCTAATGATAAGAAAGGCACATGCAACAAAGTTCAGATTTACGAACGATATAGACGTAACCCTTGTCTGCGATCTGCGCAACCTATTTTAAATACATTGACCTACGACCAAAAAGCACAAACTTAGAAACTGTGTGCATATTTTATTCGAACAAAACAAGATGTGAAGATTAATTGTTTCAACTATTTGTGGAATTTTCTTAGACGATACTAACAAATTTCTAATATCTTTGCATCTAGCGTAAGAGATTTATTTTTTTTAAGTTCAAAACGTCATTGCACTCTATTTTACACACAGCAGTTTTTTAATATTTTTACACTCAACGTAAGAGATCTATTTTTGTTTAAAAATTCAAAGTACCTTGGCGCTCTATTTTTTACAAGATCTTTTAAATTCTTTACGCTCGATGTAAGAGATCTATTTTTGTTTAAAGCTCAACATACTGTTGCATTCTATTTTATATAGCAAGAACTTTCAATATTTTTACACTCTATGCAAGAGATCTATCTTTATTAAAATTCAAAATATTTTTGCAGTGTATTATATTTGCAAAAATTTTCAATATTTTTACACTTGATGCAAGAAATCTATGTTTGTTTAGAATTCATCATATCTTTGCACTCTATTTTACACAGCAAGGGTTTGTATTAAAGCTCAAAATATCTTTGAACCCTATTTTATATAGCAGAAACATATTGCATCCAATTTGGTGTTCCTCAGTGAAAAAATAAATTTCGTAGATGCCACCTATTTTCCTTTGCAACGTATTAGGGAACTCCTTGACGCTCGCACACGTGAACATCGTCGACCAAGGAAGTGAAGCATCGCTCATAAAACCGAACACATGGTTACGAGGTCGATTTATGAGGATGGGTGTGGATGCTATTGCCGCGATGATATTTACAGACTACGTCTGGCATTACGAGCACCGAATTGCATTACGATAAAGACCCGAAACCCGGTTTCCATTAGGCGATATCACGGCACGTCGGATTCCAATTTTATTACTATATTTTACCATCAATATTCACTCGCGCATACGTACATTGTCGATCATTTTTAAAACGTTGTTAATTTTATTTAATTCTAGTTTGCTTTCGAGTGGTAACTCAAAGCTATTTTCGATGAGCCTTTTCCACTGCAACGAACGATTTCCTTTTAAACGAATTGCGTACAACTGTCATTAGGCATGGAAGATTTACTTACTACCATTTAAACTGGAAATGACGGCTCTTCTGTTTTTATAAACTTAATTAGCTTTTCTTGTATAATACCGTCGGACGTGTTTGCTGTTCGAACTCGTACGTGTGCAGTTAGCACCGTTGAACACCGCGTTTGTTGAACGATGAAATGTTATTTATTTATAAATGTCATTAATATGAAATATTATGTAATAGTATATAGAAATCTAGGAACATTTTAAAACATTTTTAACCATTTTTATTCATCTGCTGGTAAAACATCTGACAAACGAGAGAACCGAAATCCCAATTCTTCGAAAATCGAGCGTGAGAAGCCCTTTATGTTATTTCTCGGAAAAAACGTTAACGATTCAAGCAAAATGAAAAACGTGAAAAAATAAGGAAATGTGAGAATGCAACAGCTAGTCTCTAGCTGCTCGCGATAGATCGCCCTAACAGGAGATATTTAATGTATTATTAAATATGTTAAAATTACAGAATTCTAGTAATGGGAAGACATCAGTTGAAAAACGAACTATAGCCTTCTTAATACAGAAAGTATTTTAACCCCTTGCCCTATAATATCGTGTTAGACGCGTGATGAAAATTTTTACTTATTCTTTCATAATAAAGGCAGATAGTATTAGAATTTGTTATTAACGGTTTGGTGTTATAGTTTCTAAATTATACTATTATTTACTTACTTATATAACTAACTATTTTGATTCAACATCAGTTTCCTTTTTATAATTCTTTTCAAGTAATTTGGAAGTCATCGGTGACTACCGTAGCAGTAAACGTATTAATCATATTAAATGCTCGTTTGTTGCAGTGTTAAAAATGAAACTGTCCTATAAAATTTACATTTACCATTAACCAGTTAACTGTGCAATTTAGTTTGAAAAATCTCTCATTGCCTGCGCAATAAAATTGAATAATAAAATCTATACTCGTCAAACGCAGAGCAAATGCACCTGTAATATATTCTAACGAAAAATTAAAGCAAAACGAAGGAGAATTACACATTTACCTGGAAAAAAATAAAGAATTGATATAGTTAACAAAATTAGTACCATTTTGTGTTTCAAGATAACGAGTATACTCGTCGAAAGCAGTTAACTGGCTAATTTTTCGATTTCTAAAAACGATCCACTTTCCCGAGATAGTCAAGTTCGAGAATCAGATGGCAGGTTTGGTAGATTTTTAGTAGACGCGAAAACATTCGTGAAACATTAATCGACCGATACCGAAGGGAATAATTGCCCCTGTGGAGTCAGGGTTGCTAGGCGTAGCGACAGTCCCGCAACAAATTGAATTTGAGTAGCGGAACAAGGTACTCACCAAGGACACGACGTCAAGCTGCACGCTGTGGCAGAAGATGCGTCGAAACCGACGGTAGATAACTTACACGTTTTATCATAAACCAATTAACCGAACGAATTCGATTATCTTCCGATCGACGTAATTCAATTCCGCCTTGGCCGGCACACTTTGTACGTTCGCGAAGAAACGGAAACGATATTCGACGCCCATGGAGCGTCAATTGTTCCTCGCACTTTATATCTCGTTCATGATTTTATTGGCTCCGTTTTCTTCTTAACTTTGAGTTTTAACACTAAACGCACTGGCAATTTATATATAAAATTATTTATACCGTGACCAGTCAAATAATTGATTATAAAACGAAGGTAAGCAAAACAATTTGGACAATACATTATTCTTAGTTGAAACATAAACAAAAGGGAAGACAAAAATTGAAAACCGACTAAATTAGACAATGGAAGAATTGATATGAAGCTAAATGGTTGAAAGAGAATGTAGAATTTTACGTCATGTTTTGAAACCGGTCATTTGACATTTAGTATTAACACTGAAATTAGCAGACAGGTTAAAATGACATTCCTGATTTCTTCTTTGTGCAATTATTGAAAAGGTAACACAATTTTTTGGGGAATTACTAGAGAAATTGTTTCAATGATACGCAAATACAATTATAAATTAATAGAAATTTTAATGGATACATTCTTAGAGATTCTATAGAAAAGGATCCGAAAAATAATTTGACTATTCGGTAATAATAAAATAAAAATTCGGTAAAAATAAAATTTTACTACCGGTCTACTAACCGGTCGTAGTACGTTTAGTGTTAATATATCGGGTATCTCATTGGTTTTAACTTTTCATCCCCGCGAGCGCGAAAAGCTCTGTTATTCGTCGCGGAACAATTCAAGATAGGAAGACTGTGCTTTGTTCACGGTTGTCTTTAAGCGACACACACAACTTATCTGGAATTCGTCATTGGAAATGTTGCGTGAAAGTTGGTGTAGATATAATTTTGACAATACAATCGCAAATGGCTTTGTTGTTAGAATATTTTTATTCTTAGTATATATAAATTTAAAAGTGTTACTATATGAAAGTTATATTTGTTTTTTATCTGCAGTGTTATGTGATTCCAATTGAATATTTGTGTGTAACATTTATTTACTTTTTACTTATTATTCGTTGCTTCAAGGTGGAACTGAAAATACAATTTTTAGGAAAACTGAAGCTCTTTTAGGCGGAAGCTCTTTCAATTCTATAGAAAATCTACGGTTATAAGGAAGTTCGGAATACTTCGCGACTGAGAAACAATTCTCCAATCAAGCCGTACGAAATACTGCCAGTAGTATTTCACAGCGTCTCGATTAAAGTTTTACGAGTCGAAATTTGTTTTCGCTAGGAGAGCGGGAAGTTTATGCATCGTAGAAACGCGGGAAACTACTGTACGAAATATCGTGTAACGTTTTGAATCCTTGATTAAAGGAAGGAACCGGAAACATTTGTGACTCTCTTGTCAAATTTCAAATTCGTTTCTCATTTACAAGCACAGTTTCGCATCTAATCATTTCAGTAGAGAAAAGTTGAAAGTTCAAGAAATGATAGTTGTAATAATAAGTACAAAAATAAGAACAATCTATAGTATAATATTGTATAGTAGCATTTTGAAATAATATTTCAAGTCGAACACAATTCACACTCCTCTGTAATTTAACTTATTATGAAACACCCTGTACAATATTAACAGATTTATAAAAAAAAATGTTCCCTTGGTATTTATAAAAAAGTACATGTAGGCGCTTCTAGAATTTTTTAAATTTTATTCCGACCAATGACATATAATTCATTGTATTTCAATGAACTGCATATTTGAATATTTAAATGTATACAGAATCGCATCGAAGGAATCGAAGTGAGAATTTGGATAAAATTAAACATGCCCGTTAACCGATAATTGCTAGTGACAATCTGGGACAACTGTTGCTCCGGTGAATGGCGGAACAGTTCGAACGGTATTCGATTTTCCTTTGACAGGTGACGCTAATCAATTTGTCTATTCGATTTCGCGCATTCCTCGGAAAACTTTCGACTTGTTTATAGCCTCAACGTGTTCTACGAAAACTTTATAAGACATTCTTATAAATTTAAAAAAGTTCCTATACGGTTCAATTCATTTAATAAGTACAAGAATTTCAATTGTTACAGCAAAGCTATTGATCAAATTTCCTGAATGCGTAAATATTCTCTCTCTCTCGTCAAAATCGAAAACACCAAGAAGTTTTCGAACTACGAATTAGAGTATATATAATCACAATTTTTTTAAATTCGTAATAACGAAAATGTATACTGCATTTTGTCACTGATAAGTACTATTCTTCATAGTAAAAGTTATCATCTTTTTCAACTAAAAATGACTAAGTAAGACTATTTATTTAAATCAAGAACTTCGAGCGATCTCGTCGTAGTTTTCACAAACTATAAAAGAACATTTAATCTTCGTAACAGCAACTTTTTTCTACCTATCGTAGATCACATTCGTTTTTAAGGTTTGCCCATCCCCGAAAAGTGAAGAAGTACGAGGGAGAAAGCATTATTATGCGACACCTTTATTCATCTCGTCCACGAACTCGCAAAGTTTCCAAAAGAATGGAATTTTCGTGGAGCTGAAGTTCCCTCATCAGTGTTACGCCGGGAGAAGTAGCAACACTTAAAAGCAAAATCCCGTAGCGTACGATGTTTTCTTTCTCTTTTGCTGTACTCTGACTGGGTTCGTCACCGGCGCGTTGATAGAATGAAGGCACCCGAGAAGAATGCGAATCTAATTGATCAGAGTCGTGCATTTCCCTTCTTGTATGTGTTTTCGATAATAATGTGCTATTCGTCGATACAGTCACATCGTGATTAACCCTTCGGAATGAAATTGGGCCAGACTCGTAAGGAAGATCTAAAGGAAATTAATATAAATATTTCTCACTCTATATTATGATTATAGTCCCCAAAATCGGATCGCGTGGTTATTTTAAAAACTCGCCTTGGAGATTACATTATTGCTTTGGAAACTAGTTTCCAGCCATATCGAATGCGTTAATTATTTTTCTATTATGAATTATTATACTTTCAAGCAAATGTAATTATTCACAACCAATGAAAACATAATATAACTATATAATCCGATATAGTTGCTAATGAGCTTATTAGGTTGTCGAAAGAAAAAAAAACATAAATATAATATTTCCAGCAAATTATTGATAACGAAATAATCCCAAAAAATGTAGTTATGAAAGAAACAAATGTAAACAAAATACATTACGAAAATCCACTTCTGCCCTTATACTGTACCGAATGTCAACTTTCCATCAATGTACAACTCTCTTTATTACATGTGAGAAGAATCTCAGGACAGCACAGAGAATAAAAGAGTCTCTCGTTATGTGTTTTGTTTATAGTTTTCATTGCTTACGTGTAACCATATTGACGAAAAGCAAAATTAATAAATTAATAAATTATTAAATACCAAAGAAAGTTCGTGCGGTTTTACCGATATCGCTGGTATCAAACAAAATAAAATTAATTTATGAAAACTTTTATTATAATATAGTTATTTTATATTATATAATTATTTTCCTCTGTGTTTAACCGTTTGAATCCCAAGTAGCGCGATCGCGCTTCTCCGTTACACTGACTACGAGTGTCAGCTTATCAATTCGTAGAATTAGATTATGCTTATTTATTTGTTTTCCTTCTAATTAATGTTTATTGGCGTTATTGCCCGCTTAGAAATTGAAACATGGAACGATCGTACTATTTATAATTTTCTTATGTAAAAATAGAAAAGCGTCATTCAGTTTTATACGCGTCATCTTAAAACGCAAAATGATACTAACTTTGTCAATGGTAAATTATTTATTTTCTCAGATAAATGCATAATTCTCCTTCGTTTTCCTTCTGGTTTTGGTTGGAATATATTATAGACGCATTTGCTCTGCGTTTGACGAGTATAGATTTTATTATTCAATTTTATTGCGCAGGCAATGAGAGATTTTTCAAACTAAATTCCACAATTAACTGGTTAAGAACCCGCACAAACTTTTTCCGGTACCTATTCGAAAATGAAAAGAGGAAAGATGAAAGCTGACCAATTAGACCCGCATTGCTTCCATGGTTCTTCTCCCGTGTAACGAAGAGCATCTACGCAGTCGTCTGCAAAACGTAACACGATCGAGATGCATACTCTTTCAAGATGTTTCGCCAGCGAAACCATCTGAATCAAGCGACCGCGTGTTTACGCGAGTACCATGCGGACGTGTCATTTTGACGAAGCTATTCGTGGGCTAGCTTTCAAACAAGCAATAACAGTGAACAATTTATGAACGATGCCGATCGTCCAAAGGTCACCATTCTCTGACCATTGCGCTCGCTGCTACCACTGTACCGCTTCCTGGAAACAAATTCCGACTTCCGGCAAGCGCGAACAATTCAATGCGTCTTCGCGAGCGCGTGAACAGTAGCGACCATTCGCGCGGACGTTTATGCAAATCACGCGTCTCTATTATTATTATTATCAACGAACGTCTTTATTGCACAATAATAAAACGATCTACAAGCCGTTGGAACGTCTCGAACAGGTTGCGAATAAGAGAATTTTTAGCGAATCACCAACTTCGTTGCATTCAGTAAGAAATGATTACGTTGAATCGAATTACATTACAATGGACAATAAACAAAACTCTGATGACAGGTGTAAACCGGTTTTCAATTTAGTTTTCAATAAAAGGTTTCAACGTAAACATCTCAATATAGAGTCCACCTCGATAGAAGAATGGGATTGAAAGTTTCGACATTTTTCATTGAGTTGAAACCACAGAAAACTTTTCGATGCTTACATACGATTCTAATGTTCCATATAAAGTTTACTGTAAACTTTAGCTTTTGAAGATACCACTCCGAAATTGTTTGACTTAATCGTATGGAGGTAACTGTAACGAATTATCGGCGAGAGAAACATTCCTACTCGAGCGGCATCGGTGTAACATTCTTTCACTGTCGAGTTTCAATTTTCAATCGGGTTTATCAATGTTCTCCTCGCAGATACGAGGTTGTGATGAAAGAACGTTGCGTCGAGAAGGTTTAATTTAAAAATCATCATCACTTGGAGAATAGCGAACCGGACGAATATAATTAAATTATTAATTTTTCCGAGAACTTCGGTTAATTTGATACACTCGGTTGCTTTATATCTGCCCGTTTAATTCGAAACTCGTTTATTACTAGTTTTTGTTCTTTCCTTTGGGTTTTTTTAATAGGTTCGAATTTCGGAACACTACGAGAACCTTTTTTCGGAAGGAGGACTTCAAAAACTGCGGATCACACGCGGCCGCGCGGCGGCAACTGAGCGCTTCCACTGATAGAAACGTGACTCGAAGTGCGCGCGCAACTATTGCCGGCACGACGGCGACACCGTCGATTCTACCCCCGAGAGTTCGTTCTTATTTTTGCGCGGCGTGGTACACCTTATCGTTCTCAGAGCCTCGAAAAAATTGAAAATAAAAAAATTCATGATTTTTCGAGAAAAATGCTTCTCCCTTCATTAAATGTAACAATTCACCCAATAGCACATGAAAACTCACCCCCTTCTGTATAATTTACTCTTCTTAACTACGTTGACGAAAGTAACTTTAGAAAGAGAATTTCTAAATCGTTTCAATATATTGAAAGCAGAGCGACACTCGAATATTAATGAAGATTGTATTTATTAATATTTCAAATACATATATTACACGCATTACATTTTGCTATTTACTTTATTTATTATTTCAGTTTACTTCTTATTCATTAGTCTTCCCAAAAAGATTGAAACGTTAAAGACGATTTCAGTAAACGAACAGCTAACATCCCCACTAAATTTACCACCCTACTTATCACCGAATCTAAAGCTCGCATAAAAGCAAATTCCATTTAAATCTATCGATAAGAGGTATCGGTAAAGAATACTGCGTCCAGTACTACCTAACAGGCCCCTTTCCAAATCTTAGCGCTCATCCGCCCGATCCAATTCTCAAAATTATTGATATGTCGAAGGCCAATATCAGTCTCGGAAACCAGTAGTTTATAACCCCACTGGATTTACTGGCTTACCCCACCCTGCCTACCTCGTAATATACTTCCTCAATATTATCCCATCGGTGTAGTCCAGATCCCGCATAAATCCGTACACCTGACGCGGCGTAGCCATAGATCTTCACAACGATTTTGCAAGTACGCCGAGTCTGCCGCTCGAAAATCTCCGAAAGGTATATTTTTCCGGGTGCGCTCGCGTCTAAGTAGCGGGTCAAGTTGCCTCCCCCCGTTTTCCGCGTAATCGCTCTTAAACCGCGCTTTAAAAGAGACTATCGCGCGATCGTGGGCAGCAGGGTCCCTTTAAGTCGGTGTTTTTCATACGGGTGCACGTAACCGAAGGTAGTAATTTAACTGCATAAATTTATTGTCGAGTCATTGTCGTTACTGTCAAATCTAGCCCCCGATGCCTTGTCGTTACAGGGAACACGTGAGGCGTGCCGTTAATATACACGTGGACAACGGCCAGGGGCGCGCCGAAGGTGTTTGCTGTCAGGATGCAAACTTTTATTGGCCTCCTCTTAAAAAATTGGAAAATATCATGATTTTTCCACACTATTAATGATTATACTACATTGTATAATTCAAATTAGATATTAGGTGCGTAAAATAAATATTAAATATTTGTCTTTTGCCATCTTATTTCATTCAGTTATAGTTTAATACAGCACTTTAATTATTCATTCAGAAACACTTCAACAGTATTGAACTGGTACCTTTATGTGATACAATTATGATACCACAAATAACTATAGCAGAAATTGGTGAAGCAAGTGTACATTGAAATGAAAGTAAACGACCAGTCTGATTGGATAAAGCACCCTCGAGTTGGCGCGGCCCTGGCAAAAGCGATCATTTTCTTCGGTCGTAATGAATAGACGCCGCCACACGCGTACGCAGGGCCGCGATCAGATCCCCGACCCGAAAACCGCGCGATCCCATTGGATCTACACGACTCGTCGATTGTTTGCACGACAGCGCCCGTTATCGACATGTACCGGCGATTGAATTTATACAGCGTGCAAAATTGGATTGTCTAGGAACACGGCAGCGATAAGAGAGCCCACGTCCGCGAACAGACTTTTACGGGCGTTTCCGTGATTCATTGGCCGCCGATGTTTCGGATGTTGCGCGATCCGAAGGCTGATATCGTAGATCAAACGTTGCAGGTGTATATACATTTGCAATTAGAAATTGTTTTGCGAATATTAACCCTTTGCCCTTTATTTTCTTTGACAACTGAACTTAATAAGACTGTTGTATCGTTAATAATTTAATAGACGAAAGAAGTTTGATATTTATTTTGTGAAATACGTTTACTCTGACGGTTGAAGATTGACGATAGACATGTTTAACACATTGAAAGCTACAGGGGTCGCCGACGACCATCGCCCAAATTCAATTACTGTAATTTCTACAATTAAACGATGATTATTTGAAAACATTTCTATATTATAAGTAGTATTACCTATTGCAGGACATTTAACAGGATAAATGTACAATGACAATAACGAAATTCAATTAAATAATTCAATATTATTTCTTTTTCATTTCGCATATTCTGTACCTTAAAATCGTGGAGCATTCAACGTGTTAATTTGTGTTGGAAGTAAAGAAATAATATTTAAATTTATCGAATTTGATTTAAAAGTTTCGTAAACAATGGGACACGATATTGTAGGAGAAGGAGTTAAGGTTTTCTCGATGATAGTGCAATCGATTTAATTGATTGTTATTTATGCAAGAGACTTTTATTGTACATAATTAGAACTCTTTATAAAGTTCTCTGTACTTCCGTATATCACAAGTACACAGAATATATTGGAAAAAGTAAAATGAATCTGCTTTCAAGAAAAGTCATTAAATACACTGTGGTACCAATGTGGTCAACGGATCTTATTATTAGGTTTTGTTCGAAAATATCGTTTATAATGTTTCGCGAATAAAACGAAAAAGGGTGTAGAATGAGTCTCAAATTTGAATTCCATGTATGTATTTTTCATAAGCGTTTTCACTTTCATTTATTTTGCCAACTTCTCGAACCTCGGCCAATAAGAAACAAACATAAAATTCAATGTATAAAGTGTAATATTGTATAAACATCTCAATACAATAAATTTCGCAAATGCATTGAAAGAAACGTGTAAAAAAAATATATACATATATATACATATACATATATATATATATATATATATATATATATATATATATATATATATATATATT